GTTTTATTGCAAGGGTGGTCTACTTTTACTGTGCTTTATGTTTATTAAACCAGCACTTTTATGAGATACACTCTTCAAACACTAACTTTCTGTTACTATGGATGCTATATAGTTAGTTACCCTCCATTGTTCTTGTAAAGTTCCATTCATAAATCAGATTTCATTGGTTGATATTTAAGTATTTATCTCATGAGAATCAAATGAGTCCATATATGGTAAAGGGGAAGATGTTGCAATATATCATTTTATTTGTATGTTAGTGATAGAGAATTTTATATGAATCTATCCCAAAGTATTTTTTTAAGCACATGTAATTCTAACAATATAAATTAATTTTGTTTATGATAATGCAAGTGATTCACTAATATGTTTTAATAGCAGAGCCACAGATATTTCTTGTTTATTTTGTCTAAAAATGTTTACTTAGAAACAACTAGCACAACCATTAAACTTTACAAATACAAGGGAAATCTGACCATATTATCTACATGTAAAGTATATAAAACATACTGTAATGTATTACCAATAAGTTGTGTAACATTACACCAGAAGCTCATCTTATATTCTATATGATGGTGTATTGACATTCAAAAGTAAATATGATACACACTTTGTAGTAGTGCTTGTTTACACCACTGATTCAATTTTAATAATTTATTAGTTTGGAGCATAATGATGAAAAACCAAAATTCTTCAAAATATCAATAAGTGATCCCTCAGAGGAATAAAAAGAGTTGTCACAATTTTTCATTCATCATTTTTATCGGACTCTGATCAGTTCTATCTGGAACAGTTAGCTCGCCTTTATATGTGAAGATTTCAGTTAACCCAGACCACAAAATTAAATTCCTATTGAATACTTTTTGTGCAATGATTATGTTGACAGGGGAGATAAATCAGACCAGCATTTTAACTTCCCCTTAAAAAAATTCAATAAACTGCAAATATTGGAATCCAAGAATAAATGTTTTTTGAAGTGATTTCTGTAAAAAGTGTCATTTATATTGTATTTCACCTTCGTTGTTCTTTAAAATAATGACAATATGTTTTTTTTTAGAAGACAACCAAAGATAAAGGAAAGTTTCTCCTCAATAGTTACTATATTTTTTATTTCAGTTTCAAAGTCTAAAAAATTGACTTAAAGAATGAAGGATGTTGGCTACTCATGTTTTTGACTTTTTGTCAGATATTCAGAATCCTCTAGTCTTATCCATGTAGTGCCAATAAAAATTTTGCCCACTCATCCCTACTTTTCTTTTCATAATTTCATTACATGTAGTTTGAAATTTCCTTTTTTCAAATCTTATAAAATCCTTGTTAATTTTTTTTTATAGTTTTTGAAAGGAAAAAGGTGCCAATGTCAAATGTAGAAAAAATTTGGAGAAAATCATTTCCCGCCAAATTTTCAATTGATCATTTCTCAAAAACAAGGACACAGACCTGTCATTTTTTCTACTTTTTAAGCTCCTTTATTTATATACTATCAATTTAGAACAGTCTTTTAAAATGGTTGTTATTTAGAAACCGAGGAGCTAACATCCTTAAAATGTCAAAGTTTTTGTTATAGATTGATCCCAATATTTTTTCAGTTATGTTAAAAAGTGGTATACACTTTTTTCAGTTTATATTAAAGAGTGGTCCACACTTTTTTCTGTTTGTGTTAAAGAGTGGTCCACACTTTTTTCTGTTTGTGTTAAAGAGTGGTCCACACTTTTTTCTGTTTGTGTTAAAGAGTGGTCCACACTTTTTTCTGTTTGTGTTAAAGAGTGGTCCACACGTTTTTCAGTTATGTAAAAGAGAAGTCCACACTTTTTTTGTTTCTGTTATAGAGTGGTCCACATGTTTTTAAGTTTATGTTAAAGAATGGTCCACATGTTTTTCAGTTATGTTAAAGAGTGGTCTACATATTTTTCAGTTATATCAAAGATTGGTCCACATGTTTTTCAGTTATGTAAAAGAGAGGTCCACACTTTTTCTGTTTCTGTTATAGAATGGTCCACTATTTGTTCAGTTTTTGCTATAGAGTGGTCCACACTTTCAGTTTCTGCTATAGAGTGGTCGACATTTTTTCTGTTTAAGTTATAGAGTGATACACACATTTTACAGTTTATGTTAAAGAGTGGTCCACACTTTTGGTGTGTAGGTTATAGGCTATGTAAATGTCACCCATTCTGAAAATGGTCATCTGAAGAGACTTTTCCAAAAGACAGGTTAAAAAGTCTACAAGATGATGTATTGACATTCCTGTTTGTTTTTTTAAATCAGAACAATATCTATATTATTGATGTCAGCCTGTATAAAACAAATACATTTATTTAATTCTATAATTTTAAAGATTCTTTAAAGGTTGATTTCATAAAACTATGAATACAGAGATATGAAATGTCTGTTTTGGAGCAACTAAGAAAGCCTTATGCTTGGAAGAAAATACTAAAACATGTTTACAGGGGAAATCTGAAGGAAAAAAAATGGATTGTCCCATTCTTCATACATGTAAACTTCTAAACTAAACTGAGTAAAAATCTTAATATTGTACAATGTATATATCTTCAAATTATTAAAACAATATAGGATTAAGAAGTCAAGTCTATTTACAATGTATATTATCTACCAGTAAACATATCCGTTGTATGTAGTACTGAATCTATAATGGACTTTATCAGAAAAGTTTGCATTTTATGTCATGAAAAAACTGTCAAAAAGTATTACTTTTGATTTTATCTGTCCCACATTACACTTTCAAAATATCAAGAGACACAATCAATATGTGATCCTTTATAATGACAAAGATTTGTTACAACTTCACAGCTATCAATATTAATTAGGTTTACATAAAAGATTTTAGGTGACTGATTGAAGTCACATGGATTCTATCAATAACTATGGACAGGAGAGAAATACTAGATCTTCGTCTGTCATAAAGAAAGTCTGTATACTCTACCACATTTCCCCAAGATCCTTCTAGCTGTCAAAAATAAAAATCAGATTTATTTATGAACATTCTTTGGTCCCTCTAAAATCTGTGCATTAAAAAAGGCTGTCTCATAACTTGTCTAAACTCAAGAGTCATAATCAAAGCTTAACCATGACCTAGACAAGAATTTATTGTTGAATATCTTTTTTGTGTTGATTATTTGCTGTCTGACTGACATATCAAACAACCCCTTTTTATTCATATCTATAAATAATACATGATAAAATGTGTAAATACTGACCTTTACACAATCATTCCTACAGACTGAACTGAGATTTCTATAAAACTCTATTTTCTTATTTGTGACAGCATGTTAAATCTGATTTTCCATGCAAATATGATTAATTATAAAATCTTGGTCACATATGGCAGTTGGCAAAACTCTCCTGCTGACACTGTCATAAACCTTGACTTAGACCCTAATAAGATTTTTGTCCATTAGTATTAAGGTTCTTAATTAATAGGGGATCAACGGTTAGACCCTCCCATTCACCAGTTCACAAAGCTATTGAGAGCTGATCCTGTAATTTATTGTTATTAAACATGTTATTATAAAAGCCCATTATTTGAAGTTATCCGATTAGAAGAATGATGTTTATTGAAAATAATGGACTACAGTGACAACAGCTGTCCAATAAAGTGTGTGGCCAAGTACATTATGTGTTAGAATCAACAACCATTAGAAGTATTGAGTAAGTGATCCAGTGGAAGGGTAAAGACTCCAGTCATTGAATCTGACATCCACTGGATGGCTAAAGACTCCTGTCACTGAATCTGAGATCCACTGGATGGGCAAAGGCTCCAGTCATTGAATCTGAGATCCACTGGATGGGCAAAGGCTCCAGTCATTGAATCTGAGATCCACTGAATGGGTAAAGGCTCCAGTCATTGAATCTGAGGTCCACTGGATGGGTAAAGGCCCCAGTCATTGCATCTGAGATCCACTGGATGGGTAAAGGCTCCAGTCATTGAATCTGAGGTCCACTGGATTGGTAAAGGCTCCAGTCATTGAATCTGAGATCCACTGGATGGGTAAAGGCTCCAGTCTGAGAATGTAGTCCAGAGAAATGGGGAACTATTCTAATCTAGGCCCATGGTCACATGGAAAAGTACTGCTACCAGTATGAGCCTGTAGTCCAGTGGAAGGGTAAAAGCTCCAGTTTGAGTCGTTAAGCAGTAGGGTAAAAGCAACAGTCTGAACTTGTAGTCCAAGGGAACAGTAATGTCTTCTGCCTGAGCCTGTGGTCACATTGAATGGTAATGCATCCTGTCTGAGCCTGTGGTCACATTGAAAGGTAATGCATCCAGACTGAGCCTGTGGTTCAGTGGAAGTTGGTTAAAGTCTTCATAGCCCAATGAATAGGTAAAAGTTGCCATCCTTGCCTTCCATCGCTGGTCTTCAGTAGATAAGAATGAACAATCAATCCACATCTCTATTGTGACAATATATATTTTCATTCAATATGGTTGGACTAAATTCTCCCTTGAACTTCACAGTAAAATTCCTCAGGACTTCAAACTTATGTATCAATAATTACATTACATGTTTGTTTCATTATAATGCGTTATTTTGATTGGCTAACAGCAATCTCACGTCATTATGAAATTAACCTTCATTTCCAAATGAAATGTAACATCCATGATGACACAAGCTTCCACAATAAAATGCACAGGTAAATAAAAGAAAAACTTGAAAGAAATCGTGTTTTCGTGATCCTAGCAAAAAATGTAATTGTAAGTATTGAATGCTTCTTTTAATAATTTTATAGGGTTGTAAAAGCGTTAACCGTGCACACTTTTTTAGAATGATGCGCATCTGCGCTTCTTACAAAATGTACTTCGGTTTACGCTTTTCAACCCAATAAATTTACAAAAGGAGCATTCAATTCTTAAATGGTTTATTGATAAATGAACAAAATGACATTGTGTGTTCACTTGTGTGCAGAAGTATCAATGTCAAGAATTATATATGTATAAGTGAAAGATTCCACAACTAGTATTTCATATGAGAACAAATTTGTATTACCTATTAGGGCAATTATCTTCAACTTATCTGTACTACATTCACAGTTTGCACTATAAGTTCTTGGTCTTTGATTGATGGAACTTTTAAGGTTTCTTCCTTATTCTTAAAACAGGGCACACAAAATTCTGTAAAAAAGAACCAGAGTATATACGGTAAGAGTTAATTATAAAAACCAGTGATCATTTTCACAAAAAATCTTACGACTAAAGTTCATTGCAAGTATACTGAATTGTTCATAACTTATGATCAACTTAAGATATTTTGCGAAACTGCTCACAGGCAACCAAGCAACCAACAGAGAATAGATAGAAACCCAGAATTCTGTCTTTACCAGCAAAGAAAGGAAAGATTACAGAATCTACATTTTCTCAGGGATTACACATAATTCTGTCACCATGTCACATACCAATAAATCCAGTAACTAATTACATCATCAAAGTTATAACCTACAGCAGGTGAAACATAGGTAAATTGTCAAATAATCTTGTTATTTATAATGAGGTTACAAGTGTCAAACAGCAGAATAACAAGTCAATCAGTACAAAATCATTTCCAAGACCTGTATCTGTCATGTTTGTGATGAGACCAAGTGGAAACAGGAACAACTACATACATAAAGTTCCTCTAATGGATTAACTTCCTATTATATCATCTATATAGAGCTGATGTGTAAAATAATATCATCTTATTAATAAATTTCATCTTAAAATGTCTGTTCAATTCAAAAGAAAATTCAAACAAACATTTTTTTCATTATCTCTCTCTTAATATAAATATTATATATCCATATTCATTTCCATTCTCAATTTTATGAATGAAATTTCCACAGTGAGTACCAGAAAAGTAGGTCATAGATGATGAAGCTGAAGGAAAAAGGATTTTCTGTTTGCTAATGAAACAGAAAGCCTACAAATCAGAAAAGACATCTACAGGGTTACTCCTAAGTTGCTTTTTATGCTGTCAAGTAAATATAGGTTTAAAATATTTGTGGTAATTAGGACAAACATTTAAGAAACATCTGTAAAATGTACTTTGTCTTTTCCTTGTAAACATCCACAGTATTTACATGTATTATTACTAAGTGATTTTATTTAAATCAAATTTGATCACATTAAAATTCAGTACCTGCTTTATCACTTGGAGACAGTGATGGACAATAGCTTATCATTGGGCGACAGTAATGGACAACAATCTCAAGTACTGAACACAGTTGTCAACAACTCAACAGGAAGTTGTAATAGATAACAACATGCCATTATATTTCTATCATACCCACATCTCCGTCCTGAATCCCTCGGGAGTTAACGCATAACATAACATTAACACAGTGAATATGATGATCAATTACTACACAATAAAACCATAAACATTGATGATTTCAAAAGTCAATTCATTTTCATTAGGATCGTGTAACATTGTAATTACTCCTATTTCATGGAGTAAGCTTGCAACCCAGCAGGCGAGAAATTCATCTTCATTATTTTTCCCAATATGTCAATGGACTGCAATATTTTTGTTCTTTCAGATTTAATCCTGAATCAGGCAAATATAGATTTCAGATTATTTACAGATATCTACCATGTCTGTTACATTACAGATTTTTATTTTTTTTCTCATATCTTTATAAAATGTAAAGAAAAGTGAAACAAAATATGACCAACTATAGCAATTAAAAGGGTTCTAGAAACATTTTTATTTTTTTTCTGGTTTGAGCAAAAACAAAACACACCACTTTGCTCTAGGGACAAAGACTTTTTGAACAATCATCATATTAAAGCACGAAAAATGTTAAAAATGTTGTTTAGATACCAAAGGATTATTCAAACTTATAAGTCAAAAACAAACTGACAATGCCATGGCAAAAAAATGAAAAAAAACACTAAAAGACGAACAACAGTATACAAAACGCAACATTGAAAACTAAAGGCCGATCAACACAAACCCCATCAAAAACCAGGGGTGATCTCGGGTGCTTTGAAATGGTAAGCAGATCCTACTGACTCCACATGTGACATCCATCTTGTTACTTCTATCAAAAATTAAGTTGATAAGTTATATCAAGTGAATAGGCATCACACAGTAGTAGTTTGGTAATTGACTTTAACCCTACGACATCACCAAATTTGTCAACATGGGTCATGTAAATTTTCTAACCTTCAAACTGACCTAATGAGTTATTTTAAAATTGAATGACATTTTCAGTATAAAGGATAAACAAAACAGTTCCTTGTAGAAACAAGACAGACATTGAAAAATTAAAAAAGCACCAAGTACAACATTTATACTTATAATTTGTTGCTATATGCACAATGGCAAGTCGGTGAAAACAGCAGGAAAAGTGTATAATACTTATGCAGAGAAAAGAAAGATAACATGGAAAGTGAAGTTATCATCTGAAAGTTGTGCATTACACACAGATATAAGCTATCACTATACTGCTGCACACTTATTGTATATTTTCATAAAAAAAAAGTCTTTTCGAGGTAAATGCTACATAGAGTAATAAGGCAGGGGAGGTAGCTTGGACACATCGTTGATAAGGTATGGGATGTAACTGGGACACACCATATTTTTACAGGGGACGTAATTGAGATTCACAGTAGATCCAAGAATACAGTTAGTGTCCCTTTTTTATGGCTATAAATAAAGTCCCTAATGTGGACAGTGTATAAAGTTTAAATTTTTTACATACACTTTCCCAATTCATTTCTTCAGGTTTTATGCACAAAATAGCAAGAAAGGGATTGAAATTACACTGTAAAAAAATTAGGGTAATGAATTTGAAGGTATTAAGTGGTGATTGTTTTACAGTTGAAAAGGGTTAAAAATTGGTTTGGTCTGAAGCTGTCAAATTTAACTCTGGACCGCTCAACATAAGATTGTCCATATTTTGATTTAGAACTGATGAAGTTTTCTATCATTTTAGTAATATGACAGAAATTGTGTGTCAGGGATACACAGTAATATGACAGAGATTGTGTGTCAGGGATACACAGTGATATGACAGAGATTGTGTGTCAGGGATACACAGTGATATGACAGAGATTGTGTGTCAGGGATACACAGTGATATGACAGAGATTGTGTGTCAGGGATACACAGTGATATGACAGAGATTGTGTGTCAGGGATACACAGTGATATGACAGAGATTGTGTGTCAGGGATACACAGTGATATGACAGAGATTGTGTGTCAGGGATACACAGTGATATGACAGAGATTGTGTGTCAGGGATACACAGTGATATGACAGAGATTGTGTGTCAGGGATACACAGTGATATGACAGAGATTGTCGTGTCAGGAATACACAGTAATATGACAGAGATTGTGTGTCAGGAATACACAGTAATATGACAGAGATAATGTGTGTCAGGGATACACAGTGATATGACAGAGATTGTGTGTCAGGGATACACAGTGATATGACAGAGATTGTGTGTCAGGGATACACAGTGATATGACAGAGATTGTGTGTCAGGAATACACAGTAATATGATAGAGATTGTGTGTCAGGAATACACAGTAATATGACAGAGATTGTGTGTCAGGAATACACAGTAATATGACAGAGATTGTGTGTCAGGGATACACAGTAATATGACAGAGATTGTGTGTCAGGGATACACAGTGATATGACAGAGATTGTGTGTCAGGGATACACAGTGATATGACAGAGATTTGGTCAGGGACAAAACATTCATATGACAGAGATTGTGTGTCAGGGATACACAGTGAATATATATGACAGAGATTTGGTCTGGGACACACATTCATTTGACAGATTTGGTCAGGGACACACAGTTATATGAGAGATTTGGTCAGGGACACACAGTTATATGAGAGATTTGGTCTGGGACACACAGTCATATGACACAGATTTGAACACACAGTTATAGGACAGATATTTGGGCACACAGTTATATGATAGAGATTCGACTGTAGATCAATCAAGGAATCACACATTAGTTCATCATTAAAATACCTGAGTAGGGTGGTTCCAAGAAGCTGAGATTTGACACTTAACAAATGTAAACATAAAGGAACACTTAAAGATAAAGCATTTAACATTTTCACAAATTACATAATCCTAGTACTTTCACATAAACTCCAAATGAAAACAAAGTAGGATTTGTCTAGTAGATTACGTAAATAATCCCACATTAAGAAAAAAGAATGGGATTTCACGGAAAGTGCATTTGAATTTTTATCAACAACTGAAATCTGCTAAACTACCACTTTTTGTATGTTTTCAAGATTATATATAATTGTTGTTTCAAATGTCTTCAATTTCAAACATTTCCTGTTCCCCAAACTCAAATCAAAATTAAAATCAAAGCACTGTAAGCGCTGTAGGCAGTTAACCAAAAACCAAGGCAAACATAATTATGAAAACTGTGGCTATGTTGCTTCATTTTTTTTAAGATTTAAAAGAACAAACATTAAACATTCATATATTGTGCATTTATGTTCATTTAATGAATTAATTATTAAGGCAAATAATTCATATTTTATCAAGGTTTTCAAAAGCAACGCATATATCAAGTATATTTTTAATGGTCATGTGTCTGCAGTGGTACAAGTTCGAAATGATTGCAGTTGTTCTAGTTGATTGTTAACGTTGGTATTAGTTGACTGTTAGTAGTTCAAGTTGACTTAGTACGAGCTTGTAATAGTATGCATGGACTTGCTTCCCTGGAAAGAAAACTGAGTTTGTGTTCTACAGTGGAAAAGTTATGAGACACAAATCAGACAAATGTTTACTACTACGGGGATCAAAGGTGAGGTCTGACTGACCTGCCCATAGTAAATGTAAATGACCCCCGCCTTCACCCCAAGTCCATGATGTCTAAGTTTGGAATAAAATGACAGGTGATTATAATAAAGTTGGTCAAACACTCTTGGGCTTGAAAGATATGTTTTCTTTAAAATGAGCCATATTAAAATGAAATTTTTTATAGAACCAGAAATTATTCAAAATATAATTAAGGTAAATTCTTTAAACCTACTCATTTTTTGCATCAATAAAATTTTATAATAAACAAGAAATAATTGTAACAGAATGCTGTTACGAAGTCTCCCAAACAAAGCTGCCATAATTATTCATTCCCATGGTCGCCTGACATTGGGCAAAGTCTAGTACACATTGATTAGTTCTAGTAAAGTGATATTCATATGTGATGCCTATGAGATTGACCTTGTATATCATTCAAATCTGTTTGAAATGACGAACAGGAATGAATATGGTTTAGGAGTTGGTATCTCAAACTTTTACAAGTTCTTAAAACACACACAAGAGGGGATGGGGTGACCTTAGGGACTAACCCTATATTTCATTTGATTTTTTATGTTGTCCCATACATGAATATATATATGGTTTAGGGGTGGGGATCTCGACCGTTATCAAGTTTTCAAACAGGAGGGGGTGGGGTGACCCCAGTGACTTCCCCTATATTTCATTTGATTTGTTATATTGCCAAATACATGAGTATATATGGTTTAGGGGTGGGGATCTCAAATGTTTCCAAGTTATCAAACAGGAGGGGGTAGGGTGAACCTTAGGACTCTCCCTATATTTCATTTGATAAGTTCTGCTGTCCCATACATGAATATATATGGTTTAATTTAGAGGTCGGGATCTCGACTGTTTCCAAGTTCTCAAACAGGAGGGGTGGGGTGACTGCAGGGACTCCCCTATATTTCATTTGATTTGTTATATAGTCCCATACATGAGTATATATGGTTTCGGGGTGAGGATCTCGACCGTTTCCAAGTTCTCAAACAGGATGGTTTACAGTGACCATAGGAGCTGCCCCTATATTTCATTTGATTTATTATATTGTCCCATACATGAATATATATGGTTTAGGGTGGGGATCTCGACCGTTTTCAAATTCTCAAACAGGAAGGGGTAGAGTGGCCCCAAGCACTCAACCTATATTTCATATGATTTGTTATATTGTCCCATACATGAATATATATGGTTAAGGGGTGGATCTCGACCGTTTCCAAGTTCTCAAACAGGAGGGGTGGGGTGACCCCCAAGGACTCCCCCTATATTTCATTTCATTTGTTATATTGTCACATACATGAATATGTATGGTTTATGGGATCATTATTTTTTTGTATGCTCCAATGAACAAATTATGTCTTTAAGAGAAAGATATATACCTACATATTACACACAAAATCCTTCCCAATTGAAACTTACTGGTCTATTATCACACTGTAACGTGCCACTGCTAACAAAAGTGTGCATGTTTCTAAGACATATTGAAAAAATATTTTCATAATACAAAGCATGTTACAATAACTTCATATCCACGTTGCAATTAAGAATTTTGCAAACAAATCAACCAACTATGGTTTATTTCAATTTTATTGTATGATATCACTTATTTATTTATTGTGTGTCTTGCTTGTAAATGTATAAGTATATATGTAATTGTTAATGTATAATTGTTATCCTCTTGTAGCACCATACGTGTGCTTAAGTTTAAATAAATTGTCTTGTCTTGTCTTGGGATCTTGACCGTTTCCAAATTCTCAAACAGGAGGGGTGGGGTGACCGCAGGGACTCCCTCTATATTTCATTTGATTTATTATATTGTCCCATACATGAATATATTTGGTTTAGGGGTGGGGATCTCGACCATTTCAAAGTTCCCAAACAGGAGGGTTGGGGTGACCCCAGGGACTCCCCTGTATTTCATTTGATTAGTTATATTGTCCCATACATGAATATATATGGTTTAGGGGTGGGGATCTCGACTGTTTCCAAGTTCTCAAACAGGAGGGGTGGGATATCCCTAGGGACTTCCCCCTATATTTCATTTGATTAGTTATATAGTCCCATACATGAATATATATGGTTTAGGGGTGGGGATCTCATCCGTTTCAAAGTTATCAAACAGGAGGGGGTAGAGTGACCCAAAGGATTCCACCTATATATCATATGATTTGCTTACATTCAGGTATCATAAAATCTAGTTGCACTATTTGCGAAAACAAAGTAAGAAACTTCCAGCTATGTTAACTGACCCTTCAAAATTGAGAAAAAAATTGCAGTAATATGTTTACACTTTAAAAGCATCTTACATGCATTATCAACATTTATCACTGATAAAGAAGATTTATACTGTCACCAGGAACATATATATTGTTAGATATACTGTTCCCAGCTGTCACATTGTATTGGATTTTGACATTAAAATTTGTCAAAAAGTAATTTTGAGTTTCTGTATCAAATATTTTTTGCTTTTTCTTTCTTTTACATATATCTTTTGGTTTCCATTTCTAGTGTTTATATTTATTTACCATGCATAGATGTATTTTGTCACCTGCCTGAAATTTTTTTTTGTAGTTGATCTCCAAAACCCGGAATTACCCTTATCCGCTTCCGGAATCGGACCCGATATTGTAATTGTCTACACGGCATCCATTGTTTTTCAATGTTGTTTTTGTCAGTCAGATACGATTTTACTCGAATTTACACATTACTTGTAGGCGATTATCTGTATAAAGCTAGCGGTTGAACAAAATGAACATCGCTGTTATGAATAATTAAGATGAAAATACGTTTTGAGATCGTTTATTTAGAGACTTTGGTAAAAAGGTTTGCAAAGTTATTTTTAATTTTCTTTCAAGTGAAAGGTCCGTCGGGCGTAGCTAGTAACCAAGTCGAGAGTCCGATTGCAAAAGTGGAAGGTCGCGGACCTCGGACCACCGCTAATTTGAATCCCTGCCTCCAAATTGAAAAGATACGAAAATTTCGTCTTCTAATTTGAAATTGCCGCCAACAGCATGAACAGTGGAACTTATTAATAGACTACTGACGTAGTTGTAACACGTATTGACGACAAACAATATTCCTACGACTTTTGCCATTTGGGAAATCTAAACTACTTGTCTTTAAAGATTTTCGGCGATTAAATATTTCATACAATTGTTCTTTGACATCTTAGCCAAAAGCACAGGGGATAATAAACTACAAAAGGATTCCTAATGTGCTCTACTTCCTATGTGCAACTTCAAAACTTTTGGGTGGTTCGACGATCATTTAAGGTTTTTTCTGGTCATATTTTTGTAATCCAGAATTAAAAGTATGAAAAAACTATTCAATTAGTTATAAATAACATTATATCCAGCTAGATAATAACAATGGCACGTATTTCAGCATTTATTGGGTAGAACACAAATCTAGGGTGCTCGCATAAGGCAGCTTAACTGCCTAAAAATTTTAATCAGATTGCTCAACAACTTTTTTTATTGCTTAAACAATGATGTAATCATTCTATCCATATATGTGGGTGGTAAAGTCTTATTTTGCGCAACTTGTTTGCAATTTATATTTCATGTGTTTCCGTGCTAGAAGTTCATTATTGATATCATGTTTTGTGTGAATTGGTAAAAAATTAAAGTTTATCTTATTTTCTTATTTTTCGTTCATCGAGAAATGGTCATTCAATTCCCATTCATTCATGCACATACCCTCCCCTTTTCAATAATCTTATACCAGCGTCAAATCTGTTAAATTCTATGTAAACCAGTATATTGTTTTTTAAGTTAAATATCAAAACATGTACCAAAAGTTATACGAGACAGTTATTTGTTAGATGTATCGCATGAGATATGAGTTCATAAGCATATACAATGTGTCTTCACATAGGTGGAAAACAGCCTACAATAAAAGCATCAAGCAGTTAATTATTTATCCCGATTTATAACATTTTAATTGTTACCATTTTAACTAAAGTAAGTAATTTCATTCCAATGATCAATACCTTAGATGAGACTAGTTATATAGAACTATTTCCTATCTGAACAAGTTACAATGTCATTTGCATGTCATTCGTCCTTAAATCTTGTTATGTTCATCTTACCAATCCAGAGACAATTGAACATTACAGCTTCAAAAATTGATGTAAATTTCTACCAATAGAATAAAGTGAGATCAATATATCTCTCCACTGTCTAAATTTTAACTTACAAAATGTATACTTACAAATTATCACTTGTGTGTCAGCTGCTGTTAAATAAAACCTCATCTGTTTACCTCTGTAGAAAATTAAATGATATCCATTAAAATCGAACAATTGCATATCTTCTTGTCATGAAACTTATAGGACAACAAAAAGATGCTTGATTGATTGATCAAAAAGCTGGAGACAAATTGCGACCTGATTTCCCCTTCAGCAGACTGATCCATATGGAAAAACAAATCAATTAGATGACAATATAACACAGTTAATGGGTTGTCTTACTTCACATTAGGGATAGCAGGAAACAGGATCAAAAATCGTTTTGTACCTGAAAATGTCTATTGTCAAATTTGAATAAGTTCTGAAAAAGCTTAAAATGAGCCATCAAAATTCAAATGAGGTGTAATAAGCTGTTACACGGAACTTAATTTTATCTTGTTTTCATTGATTTTGTTATGAGATGAATCATTCAATTAACGATACTTAATTTACTGAATTAATGAGGCAAATTAAACAGAGAAATAACTTAAAGTTTAAACATTGGATTTTTGTTTTATTTTGTACATGGATGAGTTTTAATTAGGTTTTATGAGTACAGAATATTTAGTTACATGATAAATTTTAATTTTTTAGTGAAAATTTCATGCTCAACAGCTTAAAATAAAACTCCCTTCTTCTGCTATGAAGATTGAATTAATTGCAATAGGAAGATATTCAAAGATAAATACTACAGGATATAAAAATATAAAATGGAAATTTTCCAGAATAAATCCTGACTTGCTTTTATTTTTATTTAAAAAAATATTTACATACAATCAATACAGGAATTCATCAGATAACAAAATGACTTCTGAATATCATCACAGCCTGATTCAAAGTTTATGAAAAAATGTATGATTTGTTTACAAACTAGTCAGGATCCTGTTATTCAGTGGTTGAGTTTGATTGCTGTATGTCATGTTTGTTTTGAGTTTGGTTGTAATGTATGTCATGTTTGTTTTGAGTTTGGTTGCTGTATGTCATGTTTGTTTTGAGTTTGGTTGTAATGTATGTCATGTTTGTTTTGAGTTTGGTTGTTGTGTGTCATGTTTGTTTTAGGTTGGGTTGCTGTATGTCATGTTTGTTTTATGTTGTATTGCTGTATGTCATGTTTGGTTTAGGTTGGGTTGCTGTATGTCATGTTTGTTTTAGGTTGGGTTGCTGTATGTCATGTTTGTTTTAGGTTGGGTTGCTGTGTGTCATGTTTGTTTTAGGTTGGGTTGCTGTATGTCATGTTTGTTTTGGGTTTGATTGCTGTATGTCATGTTTGTTTTAGGTTGGTTGCTGTATGTCATGTTTGTTTTGGGTTTGATTACTGTATGTCATGTTTGTTTTAGGTTGGGTTGCTGTATGTCATGTTTGTTTTAGGATTTGTTGCTGTATGTCATGTTTGTTTTAGGTTTATTGTTTTAAGCATAAATCAGGCTGTTGGTTTTCTATCTCTTGAATTGTTTCACATTTCATCATGCTGGGGCCTTTTATAGCTTACAATACAGTATAGGTTTTGATCCTAGTTGAAGACATTACAGAACTGTTTAGTTGTTATATCCTTGTCCTTTGGACCCTGTTGGATAGTAGTCTCCTTATTCATATCTATGTAGCAGAAGTTTTCCTTATATAAATCCCATCCATGTGAACTAATATAATGTAATTATTGGGTGGGGTAAATCAGTTCTGAGCACCACAAAATGTAAGCCAGACATATCCCTCATTTGAAGATTTAAAACCCTCAATCTCCACTTCAAATGTTTTCAAGACTCAGGGCTATTCACCTGTGTAACACTGAACACTGATTGTCAACCTTTTTGGTTATTTGTGTTGTTAGTTTGCTGTCTCATTGACATATACCTTACATCTCCTTTTATTCATATTGAATGTTAGACTTCACACGATCCTTTATGCAATACTTTATTATAGCAATATTCTGTTTTGAGCATGCTGAAGCAAGACACATTAACAGATAACATGGAAATGCATTCGGGTATCAAATTTATAAAGAAATGCATTAAACTTGCACTATTAAAATGCTAATTTTGCTTGTAGTGATTTTTTCCTCAAAGCTAATATAGATTGAAGAGCTTCTGGTAATACAATTTAATAAAAAAAAAACTGTATGGCTAAACATTTAGATTGTAAACCTTTGGATATTGTTTATTTTTAAGTTGAAATTGGGCTATAAGCTTTCAATAACTGTGAATACATATAGATTGGTACTTTTTGTCTTTAGTCATTTTGTTTAACTGTTTTTGTGATTAGTAATGATCTAAAGAGTCAAGCCCTTTTCAACTGATTTTTAGTTTCTTCTTATACTGAGTCTATACACAACTGTTGTTGGGGGTTGAGTGCTCACAATAATGTTTAATCCTACCACATTCTTTATTTCCTGTTCAAAGCCAGGAGTTTATAATCAACAGTGGTTGTCCTTGGTTGCTGCCTGCTTTCTGTACACAAATAACTTTTAAACCATTCTGAGAAATACAGGTTATCATTACATTCTCAACACATTCCTATTTCCTTAATATTAAAGATGGGCACCAAAATCTCCAGCTTAGGGTTGTTCATTTATACTCTTAGGAAGTTATACATTGATCTCCAGCTTAGGATGAATACCTACATTTATACCCTTAGGAAGCTTAGGGTGAATAACTACATTTATACCCTTAGGAAGCTTAGGATGAATACCTACATTTATATCCTTAGGAAGCTTAGGATGAATACCTACATTTATATCCTTAGGAAGCTTAGGGTGAATACCTACATTTATATCCTTAGGAAGCTTAGGGTGAATACCTACATTTATATCCTTAGGAAGCTTAGGGTGAATAACTACATTTATACCCTTAGGAAGCTTAGGGTGAATACCTACATTTATATCCTTAGGAAGCTTAGGGTGAATACCTACATTTATATCCTTAGGAAGCTTAGGGTGAATACCTACATTTATATCCTAAGGAAGCTTAGGGTGAATACCTACATTTATATCCTTAGGAAGCTTAGGGTGAATACCTACATTTATATCCTTAGGAAGCTTAGGATGAATACCTACATTTATATCCTTAGGAAGCTTAGGGTGAATACCTACATTTATACCCCTAGGAAGCTTAGGATGAATACCTACATTTATATCCTTAGGAAGCTTAGGATGAATACCTACATTTATATCCTTAGGAAGCTTAGGATGAATACCTACATTTATATCCTTAGGAAGCTTAGGATGAATACCTACATTTATACCCTTAGGAAGCTTAGGATGAATACCTACATTTATATCCTTAGGAAGCTTATGGTGAATACCTATATTTATATCCTTAGGAAGCTTAGGATGAATACCTACATTTATACCCTTAGGAAGCTATACATTGCAAAAATGTCATGCTGCACAGAAAGGGACTTCATAATGTTATTGTGTCTAAGAAACAGATGAATCCTGTAATAACTTAATATACAATACTCTAGATTTATTCCTGTCTCTAGGTAACACTTGAAAAGCACTTTTTCTGAAGCCTTCTAAACTATCAATATTAATCTTACAATTCAGCTACTTGTATGGTATCATTATAGAAAACCTTTAACAAGTTATTGAACTGTCCACTTAACTTCAGATAAAATGGTCAATAATAAAACCAATGTCAGATAACATAGCAGCATCAATACCATCTCAACAATCATTTACTCAGGTCACTTCCTCAAATTTATTATCTCCCTTGAGTATCTGTAGAACAATGACATATACTTTCTCTCCTTACTAACACTAAAGCATTTGTAAGTTAACACAAACAAAAAATTAACAAACAAACAAATAAGGTTTGTAACTGTCCTTCTGTCCTTGAATTATTCACCTATTTTTTTTAACACATGTTCAAGGAGATGTGGCTAATTCCTTATCATTTGTTTTTACATCTATGATGGATTTTTTTTCAAATTTTGCCCTGTTTTTTTTCCTTACTTTGCAAATACTGGGCAACTAAATGTTGTCTTAAAAAAAAAATAATTATGCAATGAAAACACCTGCTATGTTTTTAAGCAAATCATTCTTGAATTTCTATAGATTTTTTTTTTAATTCTAAATTTGATGTCAAATATTTCATTTAGAATCATTAAAGTACTAATCTTCAATTAATTATATAAATATTTTTTGATCTAAAAATGTAAAGAATGCTTAGTATTCAGACATCAAAATATTTTTTTATTGATTGTTGTTAATATTCCTATTCTTGTCACTTTGCACAATAAAGTATCAATAATATGTAAATTATAGATTTAAACATTTACCGTTCAATCAGAAAAATAATATCTGTATCACTATGATTGATATTGAACTATTAGTACTGGGTACTCATATGATATCAACAGTACTGATGCATTATTATCTTAATCATTAATAACTTCTAACTTATCAATTAGGATTATGAATATCAAGAATATGATTGGTTCTTATTATTTTAAAAAAATGTATAAAACAAATCTAACAAAAGTAACTCAAAATATCACAGATTTCTTAACAATAAAATGACAAAGATTTCCTTCAGAACATGATTATTTTATTCTGGGAGAAAATTTGGAGTTCAAATGAATTGGTCCTATAGTTGTTTATATTAATTACTCCTTTGTCCTTTGGTCTTTGGTCAATAGTTGTCTCATTGGCAATCATACCACATCTCCTTATTTTCTAAATAGCAATCTGGTTTTGAATTCATTTTAAGATAAATTATATAACTTCGTACTTTATTTGGCCTTTTTAACATTTTTTGATTCAAGCGTCGCGTCACTGATGAGTCTTTTGTAGACGAAACGTGCATCTGGCGTGAATATAAAATTTCAATCCTGGTATCTATGATGAGTTTATTTATAAAAACAGAGAAATCAAATCAAAACCAGAATGCACTATACCCATTCACACTTCAAATGGACACCAGAGGTTGAGTAGGTTAAACAAAATGCTCATGCACACATCACATGTACAAAGTAAATTGATGAGATTAAACAAAGATCTAAAAATTTTCTTGCACATATTATTTGGACACAGCAGATTTAAACAAAGCTCCTGATCACATCACATGGACAAAGAAGACTGAAAAAAAATTAATGAGGCTCCTAGCCACATCACCTGGACAAAGAAGGTTGACTGTTGAACTAGCATACATTTTTGTTTGGGGGACATATTATTAGAACACAAGAGGTGGATCAGATTGGTCATGTTCCTGATAACATCACTATTACAAAAGAGGTGGACCAGATTGGTCATGCTTCTGACTTCATAAGAACACAAGAGGTGGACCAGACTGATCATACACCTGACAACATCATTGGAACGAAAGAGATGGACCAGATTGGTTATGCTCCTGACGATGTCATTGGAACACAAGAGGTGGACCAGATTGATCATGCTCCTGACTTCTTTAGAACACAAGAGGTGGAACCAGATTGATCATACTCCTGACAAGATTATTGGAACACAAGAGGTGGACCAGATTGGTCATGCTCCTGACGTCATTGGAACACAAGAGGTGGACCAGATTGATCATGCTCCTGACAACATCATTGGAACACAAGAGGTGGACCAGATTGATCATACTCCTGACGACATCATTTGAACACAATTGAACTATGCTCCTGACCAAATCACATGGACCAAAAAGATTGACTAAATTGAACAATGCTCCTGAACACAACACATGGTCATAAGAACTGAACAATGCTCCTGACCAAATCTCAAGGACCAAAAAGATTGACTTAATTGAACAATAGTCCTGACCACAACACATAGTCACAAGAATTGAACAATGCTCTTGACCAAATCACATGGACCAAAAAGATTGACTAAACTGGACAATGCTCCTGACCAAATCACAGAAATGCAAAAAAAGATTGACTAAATTGAACAATGCACCCGACCACATCACATGGACATACAGGGTTGCCTAGATTAAACAGTGCTATTGTACACATAACATTGAAACAGGACAATATTTCTGATCACATTACTTAGGGGAAGGTTGAAAAGTAAACTACAGAATTTTTTTTTTTTTACGTTAAATATGAATGATGCCTTACTTCAAAGTGTGATCTACAATCAACATTAAATATCTCAAATGACAAAGACAATCACTAACTAGGTTCCTGACCTTGAACCAGCTTTATTGTTCCATCACTAGCAATTCAGACAAATCTTAAAGTGAAACAGACAATAGAAATAATATGATGGAAATAGCTCAAATAATGGACCTCTTTATAGTCAATGTGTGTAAGCAAACAGGAATTAACAAACAAATATCTTTATTGTTCATATAAAATAAGAAGATGTGACATGACTGCTTATGAGACAACTATCCAACAGAGCACAGATGAAGCAGATCTAAGCAACTACAGGTCACTGAATGTCCTTCAAAAATGAGCAAAACCAATAATATATAGTCAGCTATAAAAGGCCCTCACATGACAAAATGTGAAACAATTAAAAAAAACACACCATATGTATGTTTTTAACTTTTAAAAACAAAAAGTGGCAGAGTGTCCATGAAACTAAGGTGTGACTGAGGTTAAGTTGCAATCTTATTCAATTCCTCCAGTGGTTTCAGAAAAACTGATAACAAGTGTAAATTGATTGCAATAGCTCATACTGAATCTTTGAGTTAGATGAACTAATAGAACTAAAATATAATTTACAAACAGATGTATTATATCACTTGTAACAATTCATGCAAGAATGGACTTTTATAGGGAATGAATGTCAGACAGATAGTGCAGTTTTTCAATCTATCAAGTGCAACTACATTGGAACAGTGAAGACCATTAATAACATTCTATATCCACATTGTTCTATCAGAAACAACAAAAGGATTGGTTCAAAGTTACTAAACTTATTTAGAAACTGTTTACAACCAAGCACCCACTATACTTATTTTAATAACAAGATTTTTCAGTCTTTGTTGTAAGAAACCAAATAAAGGTTGTTAAATGAATAATAAAAATCATAAATTCTAATTTTGTACATTTTTTAATCATCAGATTAAAGATTTTCAATTTTTTGAATTATTTTTAAAAATTTGACATAGTATTCTATTGTCTGTTTAATCACTTAACAATTGATTCCAAAGTCCAGAACCTTGTTTGATGGCAATGGTTGCTGTTATATTTTAACCATGTTCTCTTCATTTAGCAGTTTTAAGTTAAGGGCTGATTTTTGATATTGTTAAATTATTCACCTTGGGGAGTTTGACATTGACATATGATATCGATGCTTTTCTATTCTTCTTAACATTGACTTTTATTCACCAATAAGAAAAGTATCATATATTTTTCAATGATGTAGCTTTGGTGTTCCCTATTTTAACTGATCATCTTACAAGATTTTTCTCAAATTATGAGGTGTTACTTATATTTCCATTAAAGGGGTAAACCTCCATGAAAAATAATGGTCTGAAAAAAGCATCAGAGATACATTTTCACTTTTCTCCTAATGATTACTAATCAATACACTATTGAAAGAGAAAAATAATCGCATTAGCCTATAAATGTTGCTAATGAACTTATCAGAGGCTTTTAAAGGACCTGAAATGGCGTGAAGAATTGAAGAAACTCACGGAATTCAACGATCAATTATGGCACCTTAATTCCACTTGGACGTGTAGGACGGAGAAAAACTTGCCTTGTGTCTTTAAGTCTCCATTATCTTTCTGTCCAGAAGACATAACTTAAAGCCCTGAAACAATAAAATCATATCAATTATTTATATTTTTATGTCTGTAGGAAGTAATCTGTCATAATTAGACATCAATTTATGAATGTCTTATAGGCATAAACCTAAGTATATAAATATCAAATACTGTCAAGGTATTTCTCTTCCTCAATGATAATTTTGTGGTGTTTTGGGAAAACAGATTTGATTATTACCAACATTTTTTGCTATATAATTCATATACTAAAGTGTTTAACAATTTTGAAGGTGTTTGTGGTTGGATTTTTCCAAAGCAGTTGAAAGACCCAAACTTTTTGAAATATTTTTGGTCATAATTTTGTCTTCAGTTGTTCTGAAACTACACATGAAAGTTATATATAGCATTTGGTTTAAGTGAAAATAAATAGCAAAGGAGTAGAGCCAGCAATCCCAATAAACAGCCCTGTAAAGGGAAATTTTTAAATCTTCAATGGTTTGAGTATATCTTATTTGTATGTATTGTTAAACGTATAATTTGTGAAAGTTTTCTAACAAAAATTATATATCTGCTCCATATATTATAGATATATAAGCCTGAAATGGGGAGGGATTTCATTTCAGTCCATAATTTTAGAAATTTGTCACCTTTTTTCGACCTTATTTCACGATAGTACCCAATGATGAATGATGGTAAAAGATTTATTAATAACGTTAACAATAAACTTTTTACTCCATTTGACGGTAACGGTAGCTACAAAATGAGATTTGATGAATGAAGATAAAAAAATTAAGGCTCATTTTGACGCTAATGGTAGTGAAAAACGGATGTTTGAAGCTTGATGGTAAAGGGCATTCATACTCTCATATATGGTGCCAGCCCTTGCCCATTGAAATTTTGCTTGAAAAGTAAATATGGTATATGAAGAATATTTCAGCAAAAATATGTGGGCGAGGGGTGGTGCCTCTGTTAAATTTTCAGAAACTTGTCATAGAATTTGCCATATTATGCAAAAAATCAAGTTTCAACAAAAGTCACCTATATTTATGACATCACAAATGATGGAAACCTTCTTTAACTATAACAATTGGACATTTTAACATATGTTTTCATCAAATTTTCACAACATTATCCCAGTTAAAAATTTTCTAATTTTCTTAATTATGAATTAGTGAACTATTTCATTTTTGGATATAAAATAATATTTGTGTTTACATCATCACACTCTTCAAAGCAAAATAATTACCAATTAAATAAACCTGTGATAATTCTAAATCTAGTACGGTAGTAATTATCTGATCAAAATCATATATCAAGGAAAAAAACCATGGTTCTTTTTTTTTTTAAATATGGTTTTATTTAAAATATTTAGCAAAATAATAAGCAAGTGACAAACACTTATTTACAGTTTGCTCTTATGTTACACCACATACCAGGCTTAGGGAGGATTGAGCGCTAGATTTCAGCTTACTCTTATGTTACACCACATACATGGCTCGGGGAGGCACTAATTTTCAGCTACAACCTTAACCCATAAAATATCTAAATCATATCAACACCTTTGTATTACACAGCTTGTGACAAAGTATCATATTGAGTAAGACTGCTTCTCATTTCAAAATATTAATGAAAAGATCTCAAAATGAGGCAATTTTTTTCACCTTTAAACTATTTTTAATTGCATCTAAGAGAACGTATAAAAAAAATATGCATGACGATCTATATAGACATATTGGTCCTTTGAATAAAATTATTCCTAAAGGTCATCAATCAGATCTTTGAGTAAATGTCTTAATTGGTACTAATGTTGACTTTATTTCTATAACAAGTATAGCTATCTAGTTATTCACACTTATGGTTCTACATCCTGTTGGTACATATATTTTGGATTTGAACAAGGCCATGATTTTCTCAGTCTTCACACTAAACTAGTGTTGGAGAACATGGTTTATTCTTTATTTGATATTGGGCTTTGAACAAGCTTTCAGTGATACTCTCAGATCAGTTCTCTGTGTCTTCCGTCTGTTTTTATTTGTATATTTTTATCTAGTCAAGTAAGTCCTTTGGAACTGAATTTTCCATTTTATTATCTTGTTGTGTTGTTACACCACTGTCTCAGGTTAGGTCACAAACATGTTTAACCCTGACACATTCTCTATTATCTTGTTGTGTTGTTACACCACTGTCTCAGGTTAGGTCACAAACATGTTTAACCCTGACACATTCTCTATTATCTTGTTGTGTTGTTACACCACTGTCTCCGGTTAGGTCACAAACATGTTTAACCCTGACACATTCTCTATTATCTTGTTGTGTTGTTACACCACTGTCTCAGGTTAGGTCACAAACATGTTTAACCCTGACACATTCTCTATGACTGTAAATTCAGTGGTTGTAGTTGCTTGTTGTTTGCCATCATTATTTTTTTTTGAAAATTATTATTGTATAAATAAGGCCATAGATTTTCTCTCTTAAATTGTTTCATATTTCTTCACCCTGAAGCTTTTTATAGATAATATATACGGCAAGAGTTTTCCCATTGATGAAGGTTGTAAAGTGACCTGCAATTGTTCCCGTCTTTGACTTTTAGCCTTTAAATGATACTGGTTGATGTCTCATTGGCAATTAAACCACCTCTCCTTTATTCTTCTGGAGAATATTCAAATACATTATTACATTTTTGTATTGGTATCTAACACACTTATGTCTTGAAAACATATAAAATCTGTTTTAAAATTGAAAAAATTAACATTTATATAGTGGAGATTACATGAAAAGATAAGTATACTATCACTATGTCTAATGGCTGCAGACCAGGGACAATAATACTGATACTGGTAACTTGAAACCACATATTATATATTTAATGTTTTGGAATCAAGTTCTTTACCACACTACAGCATTTAAATGTTTAATAAGATGGCTGAATATAGGTGAAATTAAAATAAGTAATCTTCAATTCAATAAAGCTGGGAATCATCATTCATTGAACAAAGTTCCTCTAATGCTTTTTCTTACATCAGCTTTAATTTCTCTAATTGTAAAATCATTTAATAACTAATGAGGATAATTTTTCAAGTTTCTGTAAATAGAATGTTGTATAGACTTCCCAAGTGGTAGGACTGCACGCTTTGGTAAATCTGTATAATGAACCATCATATCATTTCTACCTACGGATAACATCGGCTAACATCAAATCGGCTCAGAAAACCTATCATTTAACATCATTAGAAAATCTTATTTTGGCGTAAGCTAGAATTATACAAGTTGAATCCATAATCAATTTCATTAAGATATGTTTCTATAGGCGTCAATACTGCCAATTATCTTCTTAGTTGCTTGACAAAATTATTGAATTCTACACTTAAGACTTTTGAATTTGGTCTTACTCCAGGTATTTTTGAACAAACATCACTAATTACGACAAATGATCTCTCATGCACGGATGATGAACTGATACAAGTGAAACGATTTCCTGCCACTATCAATTTAGGGAGGATGTTTATAAAAAGTGGTCTTCCTTTTAGGCATGTCAAATCCATGATAAAGATCCATTTGGATGACGTTTTCCTTTAAATGTTATTGGGGTCACAAAGTTTAGTTGTTCAACACGATACATAGTTACTACAGATTATAACTGATTTCTTTGACAAACAATCAGATGAAGAGCGGCTATAATATACTGCTCCATCTTTATTTTGTCTGTATATTTGTTTTTTTCTGATACATACTTAATAATGAAACCACATAATTTTTTCTAATATTTTCTCTTTTGGCCTAAAAATGTCTATGAAAAATGTGTAGATTATACATGTATAGAGAAGTGAGGTGATGCAGTGAAATATTGTTCACTCATTTCTCTTCACTAGTAAGGTATTTATGTCATTAAGATATTTAATATTCTAAAACAAAATGCAAGATGTTACCTCCTATAAAATAAAATGTCATAATTTCCATAATCTAATTGATTACTGATTAAATTAAAATATTGGAAAGGAATAACTAGACCATTAGTTAACTACAGGTTTCACCACTTAACAGAGAGAGCTATTATGTTTGTTTACTCAAATTTGAAAACATCATATTCGCACAGGTTTTTAATACTAAATACTGTAAATTCAGAAATTACTGTAATGTTTTAATTAAAGCTAAAAATGCAAAGGTATCAGGTTCGCAATAATAAAAACTTGCATTCAAATAATTTAAGTAGTGATTTTCCACCACAAAATTTTTGCAATCGCATTAATAAGATCTTGTATTTTTACCAGTAATCAGTGATTTCCAATAATAAATGCATGCAGTAATTTCTGATTTAACAGTGTTTAAATGTCAAGAGTGCAGAAATATCACATTGAAAGAGTCTGTATAATGATTTTAGACAATGTTTAGGCAAACTAATTTTATAAGTTACTGAACAAAAATTATTAGCTTAAATCAGGCTGTTGATTTTATCTTAAGAATTGTTTCACGTTTTGTTATCTCGAGGCCTCTTACACCTTACTATAAGGTATAGGCAAATTGTTAAGCCTGTAGTTAATATCCTTGTTGTAACTTCTTTGGTCTTCAAAAGATAGTTGCCTCATTGACTGTCATTTCTTTCTTTTTATATTTCAAAGTATATTGCATGTTTTATTCTCATGTTTCTTTCATAGCTTTAATATGTAATGATACAAAGAAAAACACAGAAATCAGGGAAACACATTTAGAACAGATATGTCAAAAATTACAAAATGTACAAAAAAGACCAATTTATCACCATAAGGGGACCCCATGGATCTGCCCTTGTTTTAGATTTATTTTTTTTTCTACCATAAGGGGTTAGGGGTAAAGTCCCCTAGATCCATCAATGTTCTGAAAAAAAATTGTAAGGGGTTCTGCGGAACCATGTGTCTCGCCTGCGATTGCTGCTGTCAATTTAAGTGTAATGTTGACTTAAAAAGTGAGTCCATTTATCAGTAAAATACAGAATTTTAAAAATATTGCAAACTTTTTCTTTAGATGCTATTTCATGGTCTCGAAGATTAGCTTCTGTCCAAGTTTCATAACA